GAGTGCTTCGATGATTAGAATGAACCCAGTCTTATTTTTTGAAGAGAGTCTTTTCTTTTTAAATTGTTGTACTGGCAGATTCAAAGATGCAAATGTATGAATTCTTAATCTTTCTTTTCCAATAGTTGGTAAACTTGCTGTCCTGGAAATAGACTGACAAACATAAGAGCTTTAGGAAGCAGAATCACATAACAGCCTAACATTAAATGTGGAATTATTCCCGAGTAGTTGACCTCTCAATGTTTGATAATAAATCATGTCATTAGGAATTTGCTTGCTCAGTGTTTTGAGAAATAGTGAACTGATGTCTGTGTCTTTTATGAAGGCTGCATCATTTTTTATGGATTTATTTTCTTGCACATTTGCATTACACTGGCTCTCTAAATGCGACACAGATTTGCAAATATTACATTTAACCCATTTCGCCTTACAAAATGGTTTTTGGTGACCCTCTTTTAAACAGCACTTACACTTAAATTGTTCATATAACGCTTTGTGTTTCTCTGCAATATATAAGTCGCAGTCTTTTGATAGGTGAGATTTAAGGCAAAAGTCGCACATATAATTTTCAACTGATGTATTAAGCGTCGCTGCTGGTACCATTTTCCTTTTAATTGGAGAAACACTCTTACGATAGTTGTCAGTATATCTTTCGCTTGTTATCAAAAGTGTTTGTTGTTTAAGACCCAGAGTTAATGACTTTTCGCGTGCTTCAACTTCTCTCTTTAGAAACAACAATAAAGCTGACAGTGTGCCGACCGCTTGCTCTCTACTAAACTGTACCACTAAATCTTGCAGTATACATTTATATAAAATAGGAAGTAATAAATTGCCATAAGAATTAAATTTAATATTTAATGTCTCTAAACTTCTTGTTTGAACCATTATTTTATCATATAGTTTTCTTAAACTGGATACTTCACTTGAACGATGTACTGGCTCCAAAGCTACGAGAACATTCATATGTGCACTAACTAATATTTCTTTTTTCACAAATCTGTCTGTAAAGATTTCAATGGCCTTTTTATAGTTTTCATCTATTAATGGCAATCCGCTTATAGCCTTTGCAGCTGAACCGGTGAGTAAAGATCTTAAATAGTTAAATTTTTCAACATCTTGAAGCGTATTGTTTTCATGAATAACAGCTTTAAACCGAGCCCAAAATTCAATAAATTTACATAAATTGCCGCTGAAAGTTTCTAAAGCAATATGAGGTAATTTAGCATTATAATTAGTTCTTATTTCCAAAACTTGTGAAGTTGTTGCAGTTTTACCCACATTTTGAATATATCTATCGACTTTCGCTTTACATCTAATGATGGATTAGCTATATTCTAAACAATGTTCTACTTCTGTCTCTAATTCTTGAACAGTGCTTTAAGCATTAATAACTTCATCATATTTTAACAAACTAGTTTCTCTCTCAATTAACACTGAAAGCGATTCCTGGTACAGATTCTCGTTTTGCAATTCCTCTTCCAATTTCCTTATTAATTTTGTTTTAAATTTGTACGAATCGAACATCTAATTCTTCTATTTCTCTCTACGGTTTCTCCAAAGCACATTGCTCATTTCAAAGATACATTGCAAGCAGATAAAATGAAATGACTCACCTTTCAACCTGATGCTACCAAATCTTTTGTGGAATACTATGTACAAGTACTATGTACAAGTATTATATACAGATTACAGGATATCTAGTTTATATCACTCTCAAACACTCTCTAGCCACTCTCAACTCTCTCTGGTGAAAACTCTTAATTAGCTAAACATACGGGCGGAGCAGTGCCCTCTATCTCTTTTTCTGCAGCATTTGAAAGTACCTTTCAAGATGTTCACCTTTAAGTTGTACAGTTATTATGTAATTTTGAGGCTGGAGACATGGAAAATGAGCAATAACTTTGGCGGGGCTCGAATTCTGTACCTCTTGAATATGTGTCAAGTATGCTTCCAATGACACCACGAAAGCATGTGAAAAGGAGGAAGAAAATACTTTTTTATACTCCCCCTTTTTCAAGGGTGTCTGGGAATTAAGAGAACCCAAGTCAGTACTTTTTTTTTTTTTTTTTTTGAAGGAGACATAAAAAAATGAGTAATGCCCTCACCGGGACTCGAACCCTGGAGCTCTCGAATGCACATCAAATATGCTTCATATTACACTGTGAAGGCATGTGGAAAGAAGAAAGAACATAACATACTTTATATAGTTTCTATATTAGTTTTTAAAAAATTCATTCTGGGAAATGAAGATTTAAGTAGAAAAAAAAAGGTGAGATTCTTTACTTGGAATGCTATTTACATCAAAACTCAATATTTTTCTGTTCAGACATGAAGGTCACAGAAATACTGTAACTGGAATGATTATTCTTTAGAGACAAACTGCATTGAAATTCTCTCACTCTGCATCTGGTCTCCCTTTGCATCTGGAAATTGCAATTCTCTCACTTTGCGTCTGAAAATTCCGTCACCTATGCATCTGGTCATTTCAAAAATTGTTCACAATACTAGACAGTTTTATATCAAAAACATTAATTTATCAAGGAAGCTGAACTACACTAGAAACAAAATTAAGTGGAAAGGATATGAAAAGCAGAATATATTCCATAAACAAATCTAGAAAATTTTTTGTCACTAAAACTGTTAAAGATGTAAGAAATACATCATTAAATTTTACATGTGTTCAATTTTGTATTATTTCCTCATTAACTCTTATTTTGGGACTACATATCCATCCAAGAATTTATTTTAACTCATTTCATAGTTAAGTTGTTATATTAAGGCTACAAAAGAAAATCTTTTCAGATTATCAAGAGGTCTATTGTTTTTATTTAGCAGTAAAATCCCACATGCTTATAAATAAAGATAAACAGGAGAGGATGATATTACTAATGAATGATGTATAAGACCTTTTATTTATCCTTTTACATCTATAAAAATGTACTGATTATCAGCAAAACAAAGTAAACCATTTAAAAAGTCATTTAGCCTGGAATTTATACTTTGCTTATCGCTATTATTCACTGAATTTCTGAATATGGTGAAATTCGACACTACAAGCCATAAAATAAATTTCTAACACTGTTAATTTGTTGACTTCCTATCAAGTACATGCAAAACAAAATTTAAAGGTCAGGACAAAATTTTATAGAAACAAATATATTATAAGCTTCAATACATACATACTTTGTTCAAACTTTAATACATTTTTTATTATGATGAAATTTTTCTGATCATACAATTTTATATTAAAGAAATGCAAAAACAAACACTGAAGCTTTTAAAGTCTTTTTTAGTTGAGATTTTATTTTATGCAACAGCAAAGATTTGGTTTTATACATATTAGTTTCATTTTATTTGCACAAATATTTTCTCAATATTTTTTAACTTTCTTCTTAAATTTTTAATTTTAAACCCTGCTTTGAAATGTTAAATCACACACAGAAGGTCTGCTTGTGATGTGATTCAAATTTTAATCTTTGAAACTTCCTATTTACTATATATGTGGTTAAATTGTCTATTTAATTTTAACCTGGCCCCAGTATTTTCAGTGCTCTACATGACCAGTAGAGTATGTGCCTTGTGTAAATTAAATATATAAATACATCAAAGGAAATTATATGCTTATTTAACTGTCACTTATAAGAAAAAAGATTTATAGAGCTTTAGGTGGCTGCTTAAGTAGCTTTTCATCTGGCCCAGCTTAATTTTCTTTCTGAATCTGCTGAAATTAAAATAAAATATAAAAACTATGATTTAATAGGGCACAGGGATTACATATGTTTGTTAATCTGACACATAAACACCTCAAAATAGACAGGATGATGATCATAACGTGATAAAGAAATTAAACTGCATGTTTTATGCTTAAAACACCAATAAACATAAAACTTTTTTATATTGTTTTCTAAAACAATACCCATTGTGAAGAAATAGATGAAAAGAAAAGCGAAACATTGACATTAGCTATTCAAAAGTACTTAGATTAATTACCCCCCCACTACACTCCCACCCCATCACTGGAACTTGAAACAGCATTCCTATTTTTTTCAGAAATTTTTTCTTTTTAACATCATCGAAAAAAAAATTATGTAAAAGTATTATTGAAAGATGCTGCTATAAACTACCAGCATTTTATAACTCATGATTTGGCAAAAAATAATGCTCTTACTATACTCAGCAAGATATAAGAAGTTAAGTAACTTGTGTATCAGAAGATATATGACTAAATTACTTGTTAACCTGACTCTTAAGAAAATTATTAAGCAGGATATGATTCAACGTGCTATGGATACGAGTCTGAGGATTCCGGTGGAAGAGACAACTTTCATTCCCAGTTTTCTAAGAGAGACAGCGGTAGCTCTAGTTAGATGTCTGACTGGACATGACTGTTTGCAAGACTACATCTATAGAATTGGATTGATGGATTACCCAAACTGTATTTTGTGTGACTCCAATCAGCCTATGACTTCTGAACATTTAAATAATTGTACTGTACTTTCTCGCTTTGAGGACATTATTAAAAAGTACTGAAGAGCCCGTGAGCTTAAGTGCTAATGCTTGGCATTTGTAAGAAAACTAAAATGTTTAATGGAAGAATAACAATATTTAAATATTAATACATATATATTAGTATCTGAATTTTACACCAATAAAATTAAACAAATTATTTAATCTTTTAAATTACTAGCAGTAGAATTATATTGCCAGTAAAGATCTCTCTGCATGTTAGAGAAAAGTACAAAGTGTAATATACAAAATATTCTTTTTTTATGTCTATATAAATATTAAGAGTAAATAAACAATATATACTTCTAAAGTATAAGTATTAAGAGTAAATAAACAGTAAATACTTTTTTCATTAACTATGTGCAGAAAATAGTAATTTTTATATTTAATTTATAATGAAATTAAAAAAATCAATGCTGTTAAGGCATAATATTCTTTTATATGTATAACTAATGAAACTTAAATTTTGAAATAGAAGTAGTAAAATCTCTTACCAAAATTTCATCTAACACTAGCCAGAAAGGGATATCATTGGATACACCAGGTTCTGATCTAAGAAATTTTTTTAAAATAAAAATTACTGAATAAAATAGCAATTATCTAATAGTATTAATTATTTACATATGAAAAGTACACCTGATCTGTTTCATAATAAAAATTCAGATACATGTATGTTATAAAGTTATTCAACTTACTGTCTTGGATTTTTACCCCAATTTTTCAATAACTTATGCATCCTATCCATGCATGGCCCAGCTAAGAGACTAATGCTGATATTATATCTTATATTTGGTTATTTTTGATTGACAGGTTGGATTCAGGTTTATACATGTGCAATGCAAATACCAATCAACTTCCCTTAAAAACTCACAGTGACATCTAACATCCCTCCTTAAACAACTCTCATAGGTTAAAACATAATTTTCCAGAGGCATTGGTCCAAAAGGAAACAAAGGGCATTGCGGAGCAAGTGGACAAGAACAGCAGTTTAAATTGTCTGCTTACTTGAAAAATTTGATTGTTTGAATACTTTTTAAATAAACATTTATTATTTGATTATACAAATATTACAGTCATGCATCGTTACAGAATAATACCAAAATATGGTAATAATTTTTCATGGTTCAAATTGCATGCAGGTTTATCTACCTATTCCAAGAAAAGGTTATAAACTATCAGTCTAGAATTCTAAAAACATGGCCACAAATCCATAATTACAGTGATATCCAGTAAGTGAAAGTAGTATATTGTTTCATTTTATACCACAGCACCTGCCATGACAGGAATCTCAGCTTGTTAGATTCATTTCAATATTGTTCTGGTATCGAGATCGGATATTCAGAAATGCATGAACATGTGTTTCTATTTATGTACATATAATGGAAATTCTTGACCTAGCAAATACAGGAACAGTGGAAGTAATTTTGTAACTGAACACAAAATTATGCCTGTCTACAAAATTAAAGAAAATACATAAAATGAAATTGCTTAAACAGCTAATTTTGGTTCTTTTAATATTAAAAATGCTTTTTATTTCACATGTGACCTTTCAAATAATTAATTTCATAATTTCTACCTGTAATCTCGCTAGATTTAAACTGATGTTTCTGAAATTTCTGAAATCCAGTATCATCAAACGAATTGCTACCCAACAATTCTAGATTTCCAATGGCCAATCTTGAAACATTTTTAATATGCACTAGGTTTGTTGCAAATGCATAAAACATGTTTAACCAGGGATGAATGAGAGAATAGTCAGTGTTTTTAAATGTGCTTCAGGAGAACTAAAAAAGTTCAGTAGATGCCGCTTAAAGGGATTGAGGTTAATGTTGCCATTTGAATATCATTATAAAACAGCCACAGTCATGCCTATTTGCATACAAAAACATGGAAACTACACAGTTGATTGTGATAAAAAATTTAGTACTTATTATCAAAGCATTATAGAACAATTTTTAAATGCCAAATAAAGTCAAAATAGGTTATATAAAGTAAGAAGTGTCAGAAAAATGTTGCCAGGTAAGGGATAAAGTTGCCAAACAGCTTAATGTCGGTTTTAGGGAACCATTTAAAATTAGATAAAAAAAAGCACCCTTAGTTTGGTGTAGATTTTTAATAATTCTATTGATTTTGAGGATGATCAGACAGCAGTCTTTCTTTTCAATGAAAAAAAAAAAAAAAAAAATCTTTGCAAAATGTTTTTTCCCTTCCCTTAAAATGAAATAGAATGATATGAAAACTTGAAACATCTACACCAAACCAAAGTTGCTTTTTTGCCCAATTCTAAGTTTTACATTTGCATGTTTTCTTCCAGTGAATGAGGGATGCCCTCTGATTATTACTATTAGGGGAATAGCATCAGTTAAATGAACTTCTACATTAATGAACAGTCCATAAACAAATTTTTGCATTTTTCTCATTAAAATTTTGTGAAAGTACTTATGCGTTTTTTGTTGCATTTATATTATATTAATTAAATCCCAATTTTGTTCTTTTATTTTATTTTTTATTGTTAAATAGAATGATTTAACAATATGACATTGCTAAATGAGCTGGAAACTACTTGAATTCATATTTCTATTTTGAAATTATACAATGTCTTGCAAATAAAATATGAATAAGAGTCACTTTACAAAAACTAACATCCTGTTTCCTTAGAACCACCAGGATTCTTTCTATGGGGTATAAATTATATCTCTGACTTTATATTCTTTAGCCTATTTTCAACAAATAATTCCATACACACACATTTTCAAACCTGGGACCACAGTTACCAGATTACCATTTTCGCATCGTGTCATAACAATGAATAATATATAATGAATCCATTTTTTTTAATTACTTGAGATAGTTCAACTCAAAATCTTTTCTTAATAGGCAATAAAACATTAGCAATATAGTGATGACTTGTTAGTCCTAAGGGGCAATTTGCCCAGATGGACTATTAATTTTGTTTTGGCACTTTGCGTTGATTCACTGCAAACATTGTTTCACTTTTCAAATTGTTGCCACCAAATATTATTGCCCTGTATTATATTTAAAGAAATTAAATGATGAAGAATCTGCATAAATGTATGTTTCTTGCATTTATAATGATAAAACAACGGTACTTAGAGCCATCAAATTTTGAATAACATAATCCTCCTGTGAATATGGGCATCTGGAATCCCAAATTTAAAATTTGGAATTTGTTATCAATTTCATATTTTGTAAAACTTTAACGAATTTTTGATTAACAAAGTCAAGGATTTCAAAGCGAGCAATGGCAATGCTGTACAGAGAAAACATTTTTATCTCCAGCGCATGAGACTATATCAAAAATTCTAAAGATACGCTCATTTTAAAATTATTTTGTGATACTGCTCTTGAACTGAATTTTATGGTTTAGTGCAAAGAACATGATATTTAATAAATAAAACACACAAAATGTTAAAAAAGCACACCTTTAAATGTAATTTAAAATCTGAAACCTTTCAGAATTTTTTTTTTAATTCCTTTTATCATTCATAGATTCTCCTATAGAAGGTAGACTGCAGATTACTTTAAAGTGGATATTCAGTCAGTGTGATATTACTAAAAACGGCCTGAAATATGGCCAGACCAAATTTCAACCACATTCTCTTGCTAAGTTTTCTATTAGTCTAGCATGAAGGTGTATATCTGTAAAATATCTACACTCAACAAGATTAATATAATCTTAATACACCCAACAAACTTAATATAATCTTTTCTACATTCCCGTTTGCAAATGTTGACAAATACAAGCTTATTTCAAAACATATTGTTGTGACAAATCTCTGAGCAGGTCGCGACTTAGCCTAATTGGGGCACGGTGCAAAAACTTCTTTGGCGGCCCCCCTCTGCTTCACTACTTCGGTAATGAACAACTGAACTTTATGGAGGTATTTAAATTTTTATAATAATAAACTTTCTATTCAATTTGGGGCCTGATGTGGGGGCCCAGGACGACTGTCCCGTATGCCCCTGCCTTAGTCAGGCTCTGCATCTGAGTATAGTCTAGATCAGGGATACCCAAACTTTTTCTTACACCTACTCCTTTTTAAGGGTGTTTTCTTCATCGACCCCCTTATAATTTTCTTTCTAACATATAGCATACAACATAATCATAATGCAAATAATTGTGCATACATAAAACAATTAGACTAAGAATATGAAAAAAAATGTTTTATTAGATTATGTTTATTATTTTTTCTTCAATTTTATAGAGATAAACATGTTATCAGGCTCAAAATCATATAGTCTAATTGCCCAGAAGTTTGATTTTAATTAACACGAAAGCTGCGCTTGATGGTATGATGCAAACTTTTTAGTATTTGATATAAAATTTCTTAACTTGATTTTTAAATCACCTCCTTCAAAAATATTCAACTTGCTTCTTGTTTTTCATAGTAAGTTATTGATTAAAACCTGCTTTTACAGGATAAAAATAGTTTAATAATTTTGGTCGGATAACAACTCTAATTTTAGGATATTTCTCTCAGATGACTTTTAAACTCCAAAACTTAATGCACCTATGTGCTTTGAATAAAAGACTTGATTTATTTGTATGATAAAGCTTTATATCAATAAATAATTTATTATGAATTTTATTAACACATTTTTTATAATCAGGGGTGTCTTGATTATGTCGAACATTTGCCACTGCATATTAGTTGTCTACCCCTTAATCATCATAAAATATCATCCTTTAAAATATCATTGATCTCAATGAGAAACCATGGGATAGACATTCATTATGGTGAAGAGGGGAAGCATCACATCAGCACCTCCTGGATACAAGGCTACGGCATGTTTCCCAGAAGGAGGTGTGACATCAATGTTAGTAGGGATAGCATTTCACTTAACTCTCCCCACTAAGGCATGTGGTGGGTGGATTTATGGAGTTCTGACGGTCACTCGGTCACTAGCGTTCATTAGAACAGTCAACATTCTCTTTCTCCACTTTCATACTATTTGTTCTTCACATTTTTATATGGTTTACACATGCTGTATATCCAACTGCAAAGGTCCCAAATGGTCCAAAAGTACAGGTTTTCTCTTTTCCGAAAGAGAAACCATTGTTAAACAAATGGATTAATGTGATTCATAGAAACAATTTCATGCTAACAAAATTTTCAAAGGTAAGTTGCTTTTTCTTTTCTTTCTTTTTTCTTTTCTTTTTTTTTTTAAATGAGTTTATACTTATCTGTGCTTAAAAAAGTGCTTCTGTGTTAAATATATTATAACTATCATAAACTAAAGTGAATGCATACATTTATAGAAAGAAGCATATTTAACCTAATTCTAAGCATAATAGTGATTATACGAATATGATGACTTAATCAAACTATTAATTTAATTTATAACAGATGGCTTTATTTATCATCATGCTAGTCACTTAATTTGTAGTAAGTGGCATTATTTACCAAGTCAAGTAAATTAAACAAATGTGTGACTTCAAATTAGGATTAGATAAAATGTAAGACTAATAAAAATTTGAAATTTTAAATGCATTTTGTATGTTGCAAAATGCTTGCATTTAAATATCTCAATACATTTGTCATAGCAACAGTGTATTTATTAAAATCTGAAGACCTTGAAAAATCTTGCTAATATCTCTGTACCTAATGACAATTTTGTTTTTAATATTAATGTGAAAAAATATGCTATTTAAACTTATATGAGTTCATGTCTGATATTCTTAAAATTCACTTAATACAACGTGAAGCATTAAAAATGAAATTTTGCAAAATGTTGTATTTAATTCTAGCTTAGATAATTATATCTGATTATAACAATCTTTGCATACAAGTGTTTTGACGATAATAAATATATCATTTATGTGATGATAATAAAGAGCGTGAAGCAAATTTGAGAAGTAAATTTTTTATTATTGGTTTTAATTTTTCAATTTAATTAATTCTTATGTATATATGTTAAAAATCATGAGATTCTCTTTCTTCACCCCCAAATATATTATTTTATATTTTGTATAGCAGTATGTCAAAGCAATTTTTGTTTTTGCAAAGAAATCGAATATATTGTCATATATATATTGTCACGCATGCATATACATATACAAGTTTAAAAGTATTGTTAGATCCAACTAAAGACCTGAATTTTACCAAATAAATTAATAAATGAACTACATTAAAGCAAAAATCTAAGATAATATATATATACATAAGTTAAATGTCGTGTAAATGTAATGTAAAGTGCTGTCTTTTTACAAGAAAGAATTTAAATTGTAATCTTCACGAAATATCATGCCAGACATTTTTATTTGATGAAATGCAGTAAATGATGAAAAACTAATAGTAAATGATGAAAAACTAATATTTATTGTTCGCCGTTTATAGACAGTTTTCAATAATTCTGAATTGACTGCAAAGACAATTTCGATGATTTTCTTCTTTCTCTTCCTTTCCTCTATTCGAACAATCCTTCCTCTTTGAGTTGACTGAATTGTAAATAAGCATGTACATATTATCTAAATTATTTCTGTATTAATTGCTTAGAATTGTAATGTATAATTTAGTGCATCTTAAAGGCATTACATTTTAGTAGTTTTATTCGATAGTAATAATGCAATGATAACCGTCTTTCTCATTTGTTGTGTTCAATATCCCAGTTCAGGATTTGTTACATTTACATTCCACATAATACTGCTAAATCATGTTATAAAATTTCCCTGCAGAGATCAGAGGTTTGCTATTTAGATCTATATCAAACATCTATCAGAGGTTGGATATTTGCTATTTAGAATGAAATATGATATATAATTCTCTCTGTGCAACTAATGTCTCATAATTATGAAAACTTATTTAAATCGTTGCAAGCTTAGTGTTTTCAAATATGAGTATTTATTATTCGGCAAAAGATTTCAGGATGTCAAAATAAGATACAAGGTCTGGCTATTAATATCTAGGACTCGTGGAATAACTCAGAAGAAAAAAAAGCTTAAACACATAGCCATTTAATATGATTCAAAGTAATCCCTATTAGCCGTAACGCACGTCTGTGCTTGGCTGTACAAATTTCGGAAAGAAGTTTTAAAGTCCTCTTTTGGAATGCTCTTTAATAGTGACATTACAGTTTTCTTGATGGCTTTGACATCCTGAAATCTTGTTCCCTTCAGCGAATTTTTCAGCTTAGAAAACACGAAAAAGTCTGTGGGTGCTAGGTCTGGAAAGTATGGTGGATGCTGCATTTCAATGACACCATGCTGGGCTAAGAATTGCCTCACAGGCAACGCAATGTGTGGGCGGGCATTGTCATGTAGCAGCAGCCAACTCCCATTTTGTTGAAAATGAGGCCTGACTCTACGAATTCCTTTTCGAAGTCGGTCCAGAACTTCTGTCTAGAACAGTTTATTGGAGAAGTTTATTAGGAGGAAGAAATTCATGATGAATGAGTCCATCGCAATTGAAGAAAGCGATTAACATAAACTTGATTTTGGATTTTTCAAATCAAAATTTTTTCTGCCTTGATGAACTTGGAGATTGCCATTCAGAGCTTTGACGCTTGGTTTCAGGGTCATATTGATAACACCAAGACTCGTCTCCCATGACTATCCTATCCAGGAACGTAGGGTCAGCATCAGCGTTGCCGATAAGTTCGCCACATGCGTTCAGTCTCAATTGCTTTTGTTTGTCCCTTAAATAGTGAGGAACGAATCTGGAACAAATCTTGCGCTTGCCTAGGTCTTGCGTCAAAATCCGCCGAACCGTCTCTTTGTCCATGTTGAATTCATTGTCAAGTACGCGAACTTTTTCAATTGCTTCTGCTGTGCATATCAGACTGCGGCCAACCTGTGTGTGGATCACCTTTGATGCTTTTGCGCCTGTCCCAAAAGTATTTAAACCATTCAAAAGTTCTTGAGCGGGATAATGCTTCCTCACCGTAAACTTGTTTTAACATTTCGTAAGTTTCCGCAGCTGTCTCGCCCAATTTGAAGCAAAATTTAATGTTAATTCTTTGCTCCATTTTCACTTCGACAATAGGAATTTAAGAGCTATCTTTTAATGCGCCTTTCCACGAGAACCACTTATTTCAGAATGGTGTCGATTGCACTGCACAAGTGCAAGAAAATGCTCTTCAATATGCAATCATTAGCGCCATCTTCCGACTTTTCGTCTTCCTACAGTTATGTCAGTCCTGGAAATTAACAGCCGGACCTTGTATATTACTTTATACTTGTCAAAGATAATTTTTAGTCAAGACATAAATCGTGGTAAGAATAATTACTACGAGCCTTGACCAATAAACATCTTTGATTAATTATATTTGTCTTCAATTAATGATTTTATGTTGCTTCTTGATTCCAGGTAAAATAGCTTCCTAATTTAAATAAGTAAGGATCTATCTTAATTTTTTAGGATCTATATCTATACCCTCCCTTCATGTCTTAAATCGTCTTTCTGTTTAATTATTGCATACAAATAAAATTCCGATTTATTAAGTGTGAAGTTTCTTTCGTTAACAAAAGTTTCTCAGCGATTAAATTTGGTAACATCAGTAATGATAACTTTTAATGAAATTAAAAAGTTCTAGTTATTCGTATCAAAAACATTCTAAAAATAAAAATCTCAGTTCTTCACATTCTAATGAAAACAAGATATTTCTCAGATTTATAAATGATGAGACTTAAATATGAAAATTTAAGTTAAATTTATTTATAAGCCTGTCAAATGGATATTTAAGAAGGCATCCTTAAAGATAGTGAGGAAAAAAGCATCCCTACTGCAGTGACGTCATGAACTGCACACCGTGGCCTTGAGTTTTCTAGGGGATGTTGATCACACCAAGTTGCACAAGGTCACACCAAGTCTGTTTGCCAAGACCTTCGGCATCTTATAAGTGACACAGAAGTAGGCCCAGCTCTATTCCAATTTTGATTCCTAAGGGACAGTCCTAGCTATCTTGGCATACCACCAGCATCTATTATGAAATTAAAGCACAAATGTTTATAATTGCATAGTGCCATAATAACACTATGCATTTACAAACATCTGTGCCTTCTTCAGGATTCAAACCCAGGTCCAAAGTTATGGTAGCTGGGTTTTTTACCACCATGCACCAAGTTCGGTACTTCAAAGCATAAAATGTAAAAAGATACACAATGAATATTTCGTAAGTAAAAATTATTGGACTAATGTTCTGAATAATTAATGATAATATTTAAAAAATTTCTCTTAACATTTGCTGACTTAAAGATTCATAAAGCATAATGGAATATAAATGGAGATTTTCAGTTAAAATGCTTGTTCTAATATAAAAAATTTGAAGATAAATTTGAACGGAAAGTAACCGAAAGTTTTTATGATTATGTTTTATGATTACGTAACTCTTAAAAATATTTAAGTAGTTAATATTTATGCATGTAATTTTCATAATTTTTAAATTAACTGGTCTTATGAAGTGCATAAAATGCCATGCTTCAAATAAATTATAAAATTTAAATATTGAAAAATTTTATTATGCACTTACGCATTTTCTTTCCACTCTAACAATGGTAATCGTCCAACATCAAGACAGACTCCCTATAACCCCAAAAAGAAAAAAGTACTAAAAACATATAGTATCTAAATAGATAAATTAGAACGCAGTATACTAGCAACTAAAATTATTTAAATATTTCAAAAGTATATACTTTTAAAATTTAATAGCTTACAGCTGTACTCTATATTTTAATATTAGGTACTTGTTGTTTTACTTGTGGTAATAAAACTTAATTAAAAAGATATAGCCGAAGCTATCAAGATTCTAACAGAGTTGGCCCCTTAACGCTAATTAACGGCAAAGCTATCAAGGGCCTAAAGTACGGCTGAGCGTAATAATAGCTTGTGAGAGAGTATCACCAAAAGGCTAATGCATGCTAATCAGAATCTCTCACTCTCTAACGAAGTCAGTAGAACTTCACAGTTAAATACTTCTTCTCCTCATTTGCATTCAACCGCGATTCTGAAAATATGTTCTGGCCGGAAGTTGTAAGCTGAAATTGAGGAAAGTAATTTTAACTCAAAATGAACTGATAGAAAATTAAGATAAACCTTACAACCATTTACCGTATTCAATTTTCTATTCACGGATGGTTATAACATTTGGCAACACATCTTAGTTTCTTAAGTCCAATTTGTACCAATGCTTTTTTCTCACCAAGACAGCTACAGAAGATAAGTACTGAAATTAGCTTCTTCATCCATTAGTAATTTATTGGGAAGTCTTTTGATTTAATAACAGCTTGACAACAATGTTCCATAAAGTAAACAAATAATTTTAATTCATCAAGTATTACAATACATTATTTACATCTCACAAACAGAGCTACAATATGTAAATTTTTTGAAGCTGGTGAATAGAGAACACACACACACACACACAAAAAAAAAAAAAAAAAAAAAAAAAAAAAAAAAAAAAAAAAACACCAGCTAAATATGGGAAAGAGGGGGGAAGTAAAATGATTTCTAAAGTAATTATCATTCTGTTTATATATTTACATTGTTTTCCCATGTATAAAACAGCAGTTGATTTTTCAATGTGTTTTGTATTATAAAGTAACTCAAAAATATTTTGAATGAATATTTGAACATAAAAAGTGAATCTTAAACATTAACTGAAAATAACTTACTTGATGCACTGCACCAGGAACTAAATATTTTAAATCTTTAGAGTCTACAGTATTTATAGGTACTTTCAGATTTATAGCTAATGCTTTGATCTTTTGTCTTTCTTGAATGTTTTCCTGATCAGACGATTTGTTGGTACAGTTTCGCATAAAAAGTTGATAAAAGATTCTTTTCCTCTGAAGCAATGCCAGATAAACAGGATGAATACCAAAGAGAAGCTCACCTTGATAAGATAGATGTGTGATTTTTTTTTCCTTTCTGTAGAAGATATCGACAACAAATGAAATCATTATTTTAAATCATTCAAATACTAAATGATAAAAAGAATCAAAACATGTAAAATATCTTGCTCATTTCAAACAAAGCATAGCAATTTCATCATACAATATTACTTTAAATAAATGAGAAATTGAACAAATTGTGGAATAAAACTGGGGTCATAATCTTAGAGAAAATCCTAATTCATCTATTCTTTCATAGAAAGTTTACAGTTTATAGCTAGTAATTAGTGTAAATGTAATTTTCCCTGTAGTAATTTCACCTTTTTTAATTGCATGGAAAGCACTGATTTTAAAATTATTACTTGAAAAAAATTACTCATTAATTACTTATTTAAAAAAAAAACTGTCATGAATGTGAAATTGCAATAAACTCGTACAGAAAATGCACTGCATGATTTATTTTCCTTACTTATGATCTGATATACGACCTAAAATAATAATGGTATTTAAAAGAATATATTCAGAACAAACTAAGGTAAAAATATATTTATAGGTGCCCCTTGGCGATAATTGGCAGTAAATGGACACAGAGTTTGTGTAACTCATTGACTTGTTATTTTGGCACTGTGCAGCGGTGATTTTTACAGCAGAAATCGTCGCTACACAAATTCAAAATAGCAATTTTATTTTTTAATTAACCCAAATAAGTAAAACGCGTAAACCCAAAGTGATTACTTTTAAGCTATATAAAAATAAAATGAGCAGCTAATAAAGCCTCTCTCCTAAAAATTTTAAAAAGTACATGTCACAATAGTATGTGGATGACAAAATAAATTATTTTATTTAAAACATTTTGGTGTTTGGAAAATAAAATAAAAGTAGCGAATACTCTATGAAGGGTATCAAAAGACGTATACAATTTTAAAGGTACCGTAAAATATTTTTCATTCTTTAAGCATAACATTTTTGCTAAAATCTATATTTTTGTAGTTCAACAGCTTAGAATTTTATAAAAATTAATAATCAAAATCGCTGTTGTTAGTGATAAAAAAATAACCAAGATGTGATCTTTGCATAGATGTCACTAAACTATACAAAAAATATATAATCAACTAGATAGTTATGGATACCAGATGTAAGTCTCCTTATCTCACTGGGCTATCCAAGCAATTCACTTCCTTTAACTGCAAGCCTTCAAACTCTTGCCATCCAAATAAATATAAGGACCTTGGTTTCAGTTTGTCTGTTTATTTACCTTCAAATGTCCACATTGATCAAAGGGATGTGGATAGTCTAATAGAGCAACTGCCTGAACCTTTTTTCATAATAGGCGACTTTAACGGCCATAGTTCGCTTTGGGGAACAAGGATACTAATCCTCGAGGTAGACAAATCGGGATAATGATTGAAGATCATTCTCTTTGTCTCCTCAATAATGGAGAATTTACCTACTTCCATAAATGATTTTTCACGCTCTTGACCATCTCTGTTCACCATCTCTTTTGCACTTTTGACGTTGGGAATGATCTTCATAACAGTGATCATTTTCCTTTTTTAGTCTCTATCGCATGAGAAGATGCAGATCCCATGTCAAGATCTCAATTTATACTTGAGAAGGCAAATGCAGGCAGCTAGAGCGTCTATACTGATGACATCAGGAATGATATGAAAATATTCAAAGCCATGGTGGAACTGTGAGTGTCAAGAAACCCTTAGAGAACAGAGAAAAGCTTGGGAAATTTTTCGTAGGTACTCCACTTTGTTAAACCTCCTAGCCTCAAAAAAAGTGAAGCAAATGCGAGAAAAGTACGAAAGAGCCATAGGGATTCGTGGATACATTATGTCATCAATAACATCCTCTACCTTGAGTAAAAAGAAATGGGAGAGAGTTAGGAAAGGATGTGGTATGTATACTGATCCCGCACTTTCTTCTATCTTAGAAAAAGGTGGCCGGGTAATTAGCACTACGGAAGAAATTGCAAATGTTGTTGGTGAGACCTTTGCGGTTGTTTCTAGTGGCAGCAACTATCCGCCAGCATTTCTTTCCATGAAGAAATACTCAGAGTGAACTCCCGTATCCTTAAACTCTAGTAACTCGGAGCCTCATAATAAAGATTTCACTATGCTTGAGCTAAAGAGAGCCTTGCTTCAGACTCATAGGTCTAGAAGGTATCAGCTGTGAAATGCTGAGGTGTACCTCAAGGCTGTGTTATAAGTGTTACTTTATTTAGTTTAAAAATAAATACTACTTTAAAGGAACCCCCCCCCTTACTGTGTCAGGGTCATTATATGCGAATGACCTCCAAATAAGTTGTCATGGTGCAGATATGAGATTTGTCGAGAGACAGTTGCAGATCGCTCATAACAGCATTGAGAAATGGTCAGAAAAACATGGATATATCTTTTCAAAGCAAAAGACTGTCTGCATGCACTTTTGCCGAAGGCAAAATTTACATCTCGAGCCAGAGCTTCACTTTCATGGTTCATTGATTTCTGTCGTACCAGGAGTCAAAATTTTATGAGTGATGCTTGACCAAAAATTGACCTTCATTCCCCATGCCCTGTACTTAAGGAAGAAGTATTTCAAAACACAGAATATTTTAAAAGTCTTCGTGAACACCTCGTGGGGTGCCGAGTGGGAAGCAAAGCTTTGCATTTATAAAGCTCTTGTATGCCTTAACACCTCCAGTTCAAAGCCTTTATGTTGACTGTTATGAGCCAGCACTCCAGCTAAGATGCGAACAATCGTCCCTTCATTATTATTTCAATATCTTGTCACAACTGAACCGTCCTTGTAAAGTTCTGCTTGATGACATATGTGACCTCTTATTTGAAGCATGGCCCTCCTGTATTCCTGCCTTTTCCTTACGAGTTTGTTCATTAATTGAGAAATATTCTATGTCTGACTTAAATATCCAGCTAGTAAAGCATTTTGAAATACCACCTTGGGAAAATGTACAAATTCGCTGTTTTGATGTTTTCGTTCATCTGGATACAAAAAGCACTAATGAGATCATATATCAACAACTTTTCTTAAAACGTAGATAATAGTACATTAATTATATTCCTGTATATACAGATGGATCAAAAGCAATTAGTCATGTTGGAATGTCTTTCATAATTGAAAATGATATGGTGGGAAAATGACTAAATGATAATTGTTCAGTTAATTTATCATGCTCTTTTATCTATATCTAGATGTTGTCAAAGAAGGTTTATTATCTATTTTGATTCCATTAGTGCTCTAAAGGGTTTAGAAACATTCTCTGACACGAAGAAACCTCTTATATTTGAAATTTTAAAGTTGAATAAAAACTTAAGTAGCTGTGGATACAAAATTCTTTATTGCTGGGTTGCAGACACGTAGGAATAAAAGGTAATGAGTTGGCAGATATTGCAGCCAAAGCTGCTGTTGAGGATTCCAGTCAACATATTCCTCTCAGAGATATCAGCAAGACAATCAAGCAGAAAATTTTAAATAAATGGCAAGAAATCTGGGATGCACAACCAAATAATAAGCTAAGAAGCGTGAAGCCTAGAGTGCAATTTTGGACAAGCACTCGAAACCAAAGGGAAGTACTCTTGACTTGAAGTTGAATTGGCCACTCCTGAACCACTCACAGTTACCTTCTCAAAGCAGAGAGTCAGCCAATTTATCCCTACTGTGATAGCATTCGATCTGTGAGTCATTTTTTAATAGTCTGAATTTTAATAGACTTTGATTAAAGCTTTTTAATGAATGTGACTTACCTCTTGACTGATTAATCAGGAAAGAGGTCAATAATAATTTATTTCCATACCTGAAAGAAACAGGTTTTTATTATTTAATTTAACTTTTCTTATAGTGTAATTTTAATGTGTTTCATTGCATGTTCCATTTCATTTGTGGAGTTTTAATACCTATTCATTTTAGTGTTCATCATTTTATTATTTCATGTAGATTTTGTAACATCGCTATTTGTTGTTTTAAATTCGTCTTTCATATAAACTTTAGTTGGGAATAAAAGCTACCTTTGTCTAAATTACTTTGTGTTTGGTGTATATTATGCGCCACTAATTTTACTACCACCAGATGCCAGATGATACCTGATTTGTCATAAAAAGCCGTCCGGGTGACAGCCCTGCATTCATCTGGATAAGTCAATGAACCCCCTTTATGCAAGTAAAAAACTTCAAAATGCAATCAATATTATTCAGCCTTGGTTCCGTGCTTGGAAGCTTAAAATCAACACAGAGACATCATCTATTATTTATTTTCCATGCAAACTAAATATGGATGCCATTCAACTTAACGGAGAAATTGTGTCACAAGACAGACAAGTAAAATATCTTGGTATTTACTTAGATGAAAGGCTCACTTTCAAGTATGGTATCAATTATGTACGTCACAATGCCCAAAAGGGGGTTAGAGTTGACTTTAAGGTACCCCTTGTATTATCGCGAAATTGTGGTTTCATTTATCGCCAAGTTGTTGTTTCATTTATAGCCAACTTGGTGTCTCATTTATGACAACCTGAGTAGTTGAATGCTATGGAAACCCTATTATGATGTAATTGGTTGCGGTGAATTTGAATCACTGGAAAGTGTGTGTCAGATTTTGGGTAAGGGCTTGTGTGTGTTGGATAAGTACATTGTTATTTTCTGGTTTACGCGGTAAATTGGCTGAGTGTGGTAAGATTAATTTGAAGTTTCTGTAGGATTTGGAAAGAAAAGAAAAAAGCAATAATTGACTGGTATGTAAATGAAGGTTTACTTAGCAGCCATTATTGTCCTATTTTTAGAAACGAAATGCGTATGGTCAACATCGGATATTTTCGAACGCAGGATATTTTTTACTCTTATTTTTGTGAATTTATGTGGTGACACCAGTATACTGATTCTAGTTCAGATAATTTTAGGAAGTGTTTGGATGCTGTTAAGGAATTTTGTTTAACTGAAGACTCAATAAGGTAAGTGGATACTTCCTTCGTGTAGTGCTAAGATGAATTTCCTTTTTTTATGTTATTTTATTGTTTGATTTAAAATGTAGTTTATTCGG